AGTACTACACGTGAACAACGCTGAGTTTGGTATGTCAATAACAGATTATGAAGTAAGATTATGACGTAAACCAAACAGAGTAGTTCATTGGCTAGATTTGGTAGGATTCCTACGGACCCCATGCGGTGTATCCTACATATACTACGGATAGGGTAACCCTTCATTATGGTCCGCGATGATGAAAGCAAAATGCACTTTATTGCACGCCACTGTCAATAATAAAGTTGTATAAACTGACACTAACATATCTAATGAAATTATTGTAATTACTATTAATAAATAATTGGCAAATGATAATGGTGACTATATATATACATATACATATATAATCATATATATATATATTTGTAATTACTTATCAAAGATAAATGATAAGAATAAACGCCATTAACTACGCAGAAAAATTAAATGTTGAACCTTGACTAATTAAAGCAGCAATTGTCTCAAACTTGAGCACCTAATGGAATGCTGGAATTTACAATGATAGGTAGACAGTAAGCTGAATCTGAATCTGTAAAGAGTTTTTAAGAAAAAAATTGCACCAGGGAGGCCAGATTGCCAGGGAGGCCAGAAAAAACCTCTGATGAAAAACCTGGTGTGAAAAAAACATCGGCAGCAAATCTGGGTTGGGCCAAGGCAAATCTGAATCCCCCGACAGGATGAAAAATTAATCTAAAATGGACTAGTTATAATCCGAGGGACTTTAAAAAAATCAACCAATCTGCATCTGAATGGTCGATATATCTGTTCTTAGAAGGGGATGAACACCAACCTACATGTAAATCGAGGTCACTAGAAGTTTGGCGTGCTGCGTTAGATGCTGCGGCGGACCTCATGCTGTGAGTACCAAAACTACTGATATTGGAAACAAAAGGCTTAACGTAGTCCTTAAAGTGCCCCTTGGACGAAAATTGCTATCTTTTCGTACAAACTTGAAACTTCGTCCAAATAATCCATACTACCCTATTAATCACCTGTAGAAATTTTTTCTTTATATTCCGACGGGAAGTTTGAAAATTTTGCGTTTTTACTACCGGCCGCCATTGAT